AGATGTGCTAGGAGGTACTTCCGAGGTCACTCAGGCCTCTGCTCCTCCCGGTCTATTAGTCCCCGGGGACTCGCTCACCTCCGGGGGTCTCCTTCTCCCAGCTTATTGGTCAGGACATAACTGGTCTTTTCACCCTCTTTGGTCAAACCCTGGTAAAGAAAAGACAGGGCCTGAGGACTTTGGAAAACTCAAAGGAGGTGTAAAGCCAAAGGAGGCCAGGCTCTGCCACCTAGTGGCCCAACCCCAAGTCTTCTCCACCAGGAGAGGCCAGGATAAACTAATCAGGGACACCTGGTAGCAAGTGCCCTCCCAACTGATGACCAGCCTACAGCATGTTTGCTAGCAGATGATCTAACGGGAAGGATCCTGGGCAGGGGTTAGGAGGCCTGGAGTGGCTTCTGATGGCCTCTCTCCTGTGAATATATAAAAGGAAATCCCATGGAATGAGCCAGATATGGTGATACGGGCCCATACTTCTAGCTACTTGGGAGGTTGATGCAGGAGGATAACAAGGTTGATGTTACTAGCATGGAAACACAGCAAAACCTTCTCAAATTAAATGGGTGTGTGTGTGAAGGGTGGATTAACAAAGTGGTAAGAACGCTTGCCTAGCATTTTGAGATCCTGGGTTCAGTTAACTAAATAAAAAGTCCAAGGAGTTGGAGACAGATTTGCTCATCCCCAGTGTTTAACAAGGTGGGTCCCAGGGAGCATCTGTTTAACCAGTGACGGGAGGAAGGCTGAGTAGGCCTCTGCCTCCCTTTAGGACAATTCTCACCCCAGATACTGGAATTTGGAATGGAAGTTGTATGCACCATAGAAGAAACCTCTATCCTAGTTTTTAAATCTATAAATGGACATAAAGTCCTATCATACAGGACTACAAAGATTAAACTTGGTATGACATTTAACATACAGAAGCGGTTATAGATCTGGGAAATGAGATGTGGAGATAAGAGATTCATTACTCATGGGAAGATAATTTAATGCCTTACTTAATACTATTCTAGAGTGATCTGAAGTTTCTCCATTATGTGTGTACTAAATACAATAAAAACAGTTTATGAAAACTGGGGGCTTATAACACTGGCGTCCAAAAGGCAATTCTCTCAGTCCTGAAATCATGAAACCACTCTGGAGGGCCATTCATTCAGTTGTGGCTTCTCCAAAAACCATGGCTAATCTGTGGCTGTGGCTGTGTTTAGGGGTTGTACCTCACCTGGACAGGTTCTCCATCACGCCAGACAAGGCTTTCTCCATCACTTTCCCAGCAAAGATGGACTTCCTGGCCCACCCATGCTTCGGGGATGACCAGTTCTACCCGGAACCAGCAGGTCCAACCATCTGTAAGAGAACTATCGTGATCGGCCTAGGAGTGGAAACCCTGTTCTTGAATTAAATGTCAGCAGGGCCTTAAGACTTTCTCCACGCATCTGCAGCATCACAAGGTACTCAGCTTTGAGCCACCGGAACGGAGAATTGGGGAAGAACAAAGACCCAAGGGAAAGATCATTCACCTAGAGAGGGAAAGGGACAGAGGCGGCAGGGATGAAAATACTCAGGTGAAGACATCAAAGGATGAAGGCGATTCTCCCGGCAGAGGGCGCTACTCTCTGCCATACAGCAGTCCAGGGCCCAAGACAATGAGGCGTGGCTTTGGTGAGCAGGAATGAGAGGGGCGGGGCTTCTCCAAGCTGGGTGTTACCCACGTGGGTCCGAAGCTGTCGCCGACCTGCGCAGGGCAGAAGTTCTTCTGCACCGCCTCCTCATAGGGAAGCCTCTCCCGCGTTAGGAAGCTGGACAGTGTCACCGGGCAGCTGTCCCCGAAGAGCCTGGGCAGGAAGAGCCAATGGGCGCGTGCTTGAAGCCGCCCCCTTTTCACCCGTGAGCCAGCCGACGGGTCGGAAAACTCTCTTCTCAACTTAACACCTTGAGGATTGCCTGGCAGCTCCGCAGCACAAACCGCCCTCTACCCACTGCTCCCCAGCCCCTGCCTTGTCCGCGACGGGCACTTTGTTCCGCGGCCCGGGTGGCCACAAGCCTGGGTTTCCCTCCGGAAGGGAAGGGATGAGCGCGCGGATGCGGATTGCGGCTGCGCAGCCCAGGGGCCACACCTGCCGCGGAGGTTACAGTCGGTGAAGTAGATCGGAGACACGAACTTCTCCACCCGCTCAAAAGTAGTGCGCCAATGCTTCAAGAACGGCGCCGCGGCCATGGCGATGCGCCCACTTCTCTCCCCGGAAGATCCTTGGTGCTGCCTGCTCGCAGCACTGCCTGGAACCAAAGGTTCCGGCTTTCGACCAGCGCGTTCCTAACCCGAGCAGCTTTTCTTGGGACACCCAGCGGCTTTTGCAAGATGCTGGTTTTGGGGAGCCATCCTGGTAAGACCCGGAAGCTGCGGTTTTCATCTCATCCTAGCTGTCAAGACAGCTGGGTAAATTATCCTTAAATAAAATGGTAAGTTTGAGCTGGTGATGTGGTCCGGTACGGAGAATGCTTGCCTAGGATGCACGAAGCCCTGGGTGCATGGAGGCGGGGAGTGTAAATTGAAGGATATCCGCAGCAACATAGCGATTTGAGGACAGCCTGGGCTGCTTAAGGGCGAGGAATATGGATGGGATCTCTGGAAGGTCCCAGAAAAGATTTAGGACCAAGCAAGAGTTAATTTGCTTTCTAGTCGCTGCACTTAACATGAGTACTATTTCCTGCATAATATGAAAAGCGCAAGGCTGGCAGTCTCGGGTGTGTGTTCAAACTAATCGGCAGTGCATCAAGAGATAGTAACTCTTCATTACATACATTATATACATCACTGTTGCTCATCACCAAAATGTCTGGATTTTTGACCTGATGCAGTAGGTCAACAAGTGCCAGGAAGCTTTAATGCCAAAAACCGACTTCCAGCTTTAACGTTTGCCAGAGTACGTGTAAAACCACTAGGAAAAATCTAACTAGCCTGTTTTAATGGGAATAACTGAGTCTGCATTTCAAATTCAGGTTCCTTAGAAAACTGACCAAGTGGTTGGTGAACACCTTTAATCCCGGCACTGGGGGAGTGGGGGACAGAGGCGGCGACAGACACATCACTGTGAGTTCCAGGACAGCCAGGACTGTACAAAGAGAAACCCTGTCTCGAAGAAAAATGGAACAGCAAATGTCATTTAAATAAAACTTTCTATGTGAAATCTTGACCAAAGTTACCTGTTATATTGGTCACAAGAACTTTTTCTCCTGAACTGGACCTGAAATCCTATCCTGACCTGCAAGGAAGGTGCTGCACACAGTAAGACTATAAACATGGGTAGCAACAGCCAAGGCTGCCTCTACTCAGACCCATTTTCTTCCAGGCCATCATGGCTTTGAGGGAGCAGAGAGGAAGAAGTGAACTATGGCTGAGGAAATCAATCAGACTCTGTCTCCCTAGCATTCTGCCTCAGCCACTGTTCTACAATGCTTTTCCATTAGGCTTTTTATTGCCTTCAAGAGTGTCTTGCCCTCCTGTGACAAAAACACCTGTATTCCCAGAACTTGGGAGTCACGTGATTTGAAGTAGCCTGGGCTATGTATGACCCTGTGTCAGATGAATAAAAAGCTCACTTTGTATTTTGAAAACTCAGGAGTCAATTTTCTTTATGTTGGTGTTAAGAGATAAAAAAAAAAAAACAAATTGTTGTATTTTATTGAGGGGGACAACGACGACAACACAGTTCCCTCCTTTTACCAAGTGGGGGCCAGGGCTCAAACTTAGGTCTTCAGGCTTAGTGGCAAGAACCTTAACCAGCTGAGCCATCTTTTTGGCCAAGGTAACCAGGAATTTTTAATTGGAAAACAACATGATACCAATTATAACTATGAGGGCTATTTTGTTGTTCAGCAAGTCCAGGTCAACCATATTTGAAGATCCCTAATGTTCATGTTTGAATTGATGTAACTTTTAAATAAAAGTGGGGGCTAGTTAGATGGGTGAAGGTAATAAACAGCACAGATAAAGACACTGATAACCAAGCATGACAGCCTGAGTCCGATCCCTAGGACTGACTTCTACACATGCACCATGGTGTGTATGCACACACATGCAAGAGTACACACACAAATAAATGTCAATTTTTTAAAATTTCATTTTTTGAGACAGGGTCTCTCTATAGCCCTGGCAATCCTGGAATTATGTAGACCAAACTGTCCTTGAACTCACAGAGACCTCTTTGCTTCTACCTCTGAGTGCTGAGATTAAAGGCTTGTGTTACTATATTTTTAAAAGTCTTATGTCATTTGCTGTTGCTAAGCAATATATCAAATTCATTCCCTTCCAACTTCCAACTAGACATTTGACAATTACTTTTGCTTGGTATCTTGAATTGGTGCCTCATTCCCAGTAAGTAAAATTAAAAATCTGAGGAGAAAACAAAACAAAAGACCAGGGTGTACCTGTGTATGAGTGCACAGGAATTCAGGCACTCGTGTACCAGAGGTCACTTGTGGAGGCCAAAGGACCACTTTGGTAGTCATTCCTTCCACTGTGGGATTCAGAGATCAAACTCAGGTTGGCAGGTTTGTGTGGCTTGTATGGAGCCATCTTTTGATATATGTTGATGTGACAAGTCCAAGTACCTACTTATTTAAAGCAACACCATATTTGTAACCTGGAAAAGAAACTAAAGCCAATCCCTACTTTACAATAGCTCTCTGGTGAGGACAAGGGACTTGGGTTATTTCCTTAGGAACCAAGCTTTATTTACATTTTTTAAAAAAAAGTTGAGGGGGGGGCAGCAAGTTTTACACAAAAGTACTACAATGGTATCTCCCTTTGGTAAAAAGTATAATAAATGTCTTGTACATCTCTTTATAGGTACTAAATCTGAAGCCACATAGTACTATGGTACACAAGAAGCTAGAGCACTTATGCTAGCACATCAAAGCATATTTCCTTTAATAAAAAATTGACAGTATGTACATTATTTACAAAAAAGAAAATCCAAGTTAAAACTGTGTGTGTGTGTTTGTGTGTGTGTGTGTGTGTCTGTGAGTAAAGCTGGTGGATGGCACTAGGGTAGACTAGTAAAGAAGCAGGTACAAAACAGTCCCACAGGAGCTAAAAAGGAGGACGGACTGGAATTTGTTGAGGCTGAGAATCAGCAGAGGGAGGAAGGTGGGCTGCGAGGACTCAGAAACCAAATCCACAACGTATCAATCCCAAAGCCAAACAGCAGGCCTCAGAAAATCTAACAGGATCTTAGATATGGTCAAGTGGGGATGTCGTCAAATCCAGTCTTCACGATCGATGCCTTTTGGGAGAAGGGAGAGGAGCAGTGACCATCAGTTCCAGTCCAACTGTTTTGTATACGCACCTCCATCCATCCAAAGGTGACAGCATCTGGTTGCTCGTCTATGGTTGCTTGTCTAAAGTCAGGTCATACAAGTTCTAGTTTGATCTCTGCTGGTGTGTGCAAGCAAGCTGCCTGTCTCTCTGCTTGCATGGACTTCATTCCCCGTTGGGCAGGCTAGTACCCTTGGGAAGTGCCAGTTCCAGCTCTCTAAGATATCCGTCCACATTCCTTGTGTGTATCCTGCTTGGTGCCAGGTCGCACTGGTGGCTTGAATGGCATCTTCCTTGATTCTTGGTGTGTGAGTACACATGCCCACACAGACACACACACACACAGGCACACAGACACACACACACAGGCGCGCGCGCACACACACACACACCTCTGTCTGAGCTACCTGCTCTGGCTCTGCAGTTAAGGGGCTTTGAATACTGTGCCGTATTTGACACGATACTTGTTAATGCTCACGAAGTGCAGAGTCTCTGTGTCACAGGTGGTGGTGCAGGGCACCAGGCCCTCTAGCCCCTCACCCATTAGCCACTTGCTGGTCTCTGCTGCCATTTCACGAGGCACATGCTCCTTGGTCCATTTATCTACCCAGGCCTGGAACCGCTGATGGAGACGCTTGCTTACACGCTCATGGGACTAAAGGTAAAAGAGAGAGAAAGAGAAAGGATAAAATAGGCAAAACAGATTCTTCAAAATACAAAAGTCAGTATTTATTTATTTATCTGGGACAGAGTCTTACTGTGTATCTCTGGCTGCCTTGAAACTCAAGGTCTGCCTGCCCATGCCTCCTGAGTGCTGGGGTTAAAGAAACATGCCACCACCCCTGGCTAATTTTATTACTTTATTATGTGTACAGTGGACATTCTGCCTGGATGTGTATGTATACAGTGTATGTGCCTGGTGTTTGTGGAAGCCCCAAGAGAGCACTGGATCTCCTAGAATTGGAGTTACAGACCATTGTGAGCTGCCACATGGGTGTTGGGAATTGAACCTGGGACCTATGGAAGAACAGCCAGTGTTTTTAAGCACTGAGCCATCTCCCCAGCCCTGCAGAATGCTATCTTTGAAAGAAAAAAAAGTCATGTTGGCAAAATAGCTCAGTGAGTAAATGTACCTGACACTAAACATAGTGACATCTACTCCATCCCTGAACCTGTACAGAGAGACCTGACTCCTACAGCTCATCCTCTGACCTCCATGCTCACACTGTGGCATGCATACTCACACAAACACAAGGCCACATAAACATGAATGAATACACAAAATAAATAAATGTAAACAAAAGGGTCCCATACATTTGAAACAAAATCTAACGTATGGCCCACTGAGAGACTAATGTGACCTCGCCTACCCTCACAACTGTACAATGTCTCCTTTCTCCATAGCTCTCCCCTGAACCACTGTTTTTATTCTCACTAATATGCCAGTGCCTTTCATTCTTTCCAGCCTTCCATTTAACACTTCTGTTGTATAGGAAACACGTCTCCCTTAACTCTACACCTTCTTTGTTATTCAGGTCTCAAGTATTCTGTATTTGAGAAGTTACCAATGAAATCCTCCATGCTGGTTCCCTTGACCCTTTTACTAGTAATGCACAGGAACACTCCTCACTTGCCCTAGCTTGTGGCTGTATCCCAGAACCTGCTCTAACATGCTACATCACAAGTAAGATAGCCCTTGAAAACAGGGTTCATACAAACAAAAGATGAGAAACCATCTGAAATGTAAACCCTGGGAGAAACTTTTTTAGAAAGTAACATCAGGTGTTTAACCATCTCTTGTAGGTTAAACTGTAGCCCACACTCTGAAGCCTTCACCCTACACACCCATCCTTCAAAATGACATTTACTCAGACATACAAGAGAAAAACCATGAATGACCCAGGAACACTACAACAGCACAGTACCAATGGCTATTCTCCCCTTAAGGACCTCAAGAGTCCAACGCTTTTTGACAGATAAGTCTTGGGGGGGGGGGGGTTAGGTCCCAGGACCTCAAGATGTATGTTATGTGTGGGAAGCAGGTATTTGGGGCCCATGCCAAGAATACCTTGGGTGTGCCGGGAAGTATTCTACCACAAACTACAGATCCCCAACAATTTCTACTCTTTAAGTCATGAAGTCTGTGCTACTCTGTTACAAGATCCTTAGCAAACAAATACACCTGTTTACATAACAACTGTTTGTTCCGGGAACAGGTTTTTTATAAAAGGGAACTATATCACACCATTGTAGTAGGACTGGGGGAAATGCAGAGAAATCACAACCCCAGTTCTTACCTGATGAGCTCTGAGTAAAGCGGTCCTCCGGTACATGTAGTCCTCCGACTTGATCACATAGACCATCTTATACGAGTTCAGCTTGAACCTACACTCCAGCTTATCCAGGCTCTCCACGTTCTCCATGGTCTTCTTGCTGTTCCCTTCTTTCCCTTCTTTCTCCTGTTGCTCTCGACCACGCTGACACTTTCGGATACGCCGCAAATTTCTACAAAGCAGAAAGCCCTTCAGGTTGAGAGACCATCTATATATAGATTAGATCCCCACAACTCCTACCAAATGTTCTTTCTGATGTGCCTCAAGAATACTTGTGATGATGTTAGTCACACATGTATAAAATGTGCAATGGTTTCACTTAATTTACATGTATACTTACTTGAAACCCCAACCTTGATCACGCTATGTGTTAGTCTCAAATTTTCACTTACCCTTTCTCCATTTCAGTACACAAATCTGTCCTGTTCTCTTTACCAGCTACAGAGCAATATCCCAATTTATTCCTTCATTGCCTCTAAACTGGAGTTCCTCATCTAAACTAGGTAACAGAAAATTACTTGAAGGGCTATTTTACATCTTTTCCAGATGTCCTATTACTATCTATATACAAAGTAAAGACGATTGTTCCAATCAATGGATCCAGGAAGGGTTGGGGATGGTGCTTAGAACCTCTTTCTAGTCTCTACTGGAGAAAAACAGTCAGCTAGACAATTACATTGTGCCTCATACTTTGCTACTAAAAACACAAACCTGAGTGTAGTGGTTCAGGCCTATAATCCCAGTACCTCAGGAGGCAGAGGCAGGAGGACTGAGTTCCAGGTCAGCCTGGGCTACAAGGAAAGAAGACCTTACCTCAAGGTCTTTAAAAATACAAAATACAAAAACCATTCCCTAAGTAAGTGAGCAGTTGTGTATACTGGCCCGTGATAGCAATTCTTAAGATTCTTCTAAGAGCAGTATGCAATCAAAACTATTTTCCAAATAGCAAATATTACTTGTCCCTT